TTTTAAGGGTGAGCAGCACAGTTTCAAGCTTAACACTGATTCTGCATGTCAATCAGGGTAGGATGGACTCAGAACATTCTAGAAGTTTTTGAAAGAGTCTCCTGAGAAATCTCTGCAGGCAACTACTCAGGAAAGGACAAAGCCCTCCAACTTGGAGCTAGCATGGAATCCCCATAGGCGAGATGGGCAGCGTGAAGAACGTGGGGGTCCCACTCACCCATTTTCCTGGAGGACATCACCTGCAATCTTCCCTTGTCCTCTAAAATAGCTGACGGTAATAATCACTACCACTGACCAAGCATTTTCTACGTGCCCCACTGTGGTACAGGCTTCACATAGAGCATCACAACCAATCCCTGCAGTAACAGGACTGGCCAGGCAGGTGTCAATTTCACTCATTTCACAAATGAGCCCTGTAGACATAGGTTCATCTGAACTGAGTTGCAGATTGGACAGGGTGGGCCAGAGTGCAGAGTGTGGGCTAGAAAATGGTAACCTGGAGAAATGACTCCCTTTCTCCAAGAACACACATTAAGAGGCAGATTTGGTGCACAGATGTGGGCTCTACCCAGCTCACTCCTCTGATGTCTTGCCTCCCAGAACCATGGTGGGCAGAGCAGGCAGGGTTGCCTCAGAGGCAGTCTCTGCCTGGGCAATACCTGACATAGCGGGTAGAGTGTGGGTAGGGGGGTGAAGCCAAAGATGTGGAAATACAAGGGATGGATGGCTTCCATTTCTGGGCCCTAAAAGAGCGTATCATGTAGGCAAATCAGGATTTTATGTCATCTTTGTGTATTGTAAACTGGCTGTATACCCATTGGGCTTGAAAACCAAATGATAAAGGGAGGGAGTGAGTATAGAGCTGGCTTATTACACCAGGGAATAAAGAATGCAAAAGATGAGGAGGAGAGAAAGAGGAATTGACAGGGGAGTGGAGGTGATGGGGGGTGCCTCTGAAACAGGAAGAAGCCGAGGGTGGCACTCTTGGCCGTGGTTCTAATTCAACACAGGAAGGAAGAGAGACGATAAAGCCTCATTGATAGCTGCACTTGGACCTGATCTGTCCAACCTGCACCTCAGTTTAGAGTGACATATGACCAGAGGGCTCATTTCCACTGCACATGTCTCTGGCAGTATCAGAGTCTTATCCCTAGATGACGTAAAATGAGGAGTTATAGGACCTGGTGTAACTCTGAGCCAGGGGCAATCAGAGAGAGCTGCCTAGGCATTTTAAGTCAACACAGCCAGACAAAGCAAACAGGATGACCAAATCTGAGAACAGTGGGGACATAAAGCCTTATGGTGTTGGCCTGTGATACAGTCAAGGCCACATCTGTGACTAGAATATCTTTATAGCAACGTTCATCCAGTTAAGATCAACAAATGATAAACGGGGTGCTTCTAATTTGGTCTTTTCTTTGTTACCAAATTACATCAGCTCTGTAGCTGTAACCACGCCGCTGCCCAGGTCGCCGCTGCCCAGGTCAGCCCCAGGCTGTACATCTCCTTTCTGATGATTCCCCGTTACCAGCAGGGTGGGTGACCAAGGTGGGTTACTGAAACACAGGGGATCCCCTAGTAGGAAGAGAAAGGGACTGGACCACCCCTAAGCTCTCTCACCTCCAAGGCTCAGCGGTTACCCCAGGGCTTCACACAGGGTTTACAGGATCGGTTGACCCAGACTATTTCCTCTTCCTCAGGGAGGTCCAAGTGCTGATTGCATCATTCTGGCCTGCCCCAGTTCCTTTAAGGGGGGGTGGGGGTGAGCCACTCCAGGCCCTTGACATGCAAATCAGACAATTTCACTGCTGATAAAGGGTTCTACAGAACCGGATGAGTAATACCGTCCTGCCCAGCTGGCAGTTTATCTAGCGCTCACTGCTAAATCCAGTTTACACCCTTTTTATTGTGCTCAATACCTCACAAAAGTGGGAACAATAAAATTGACCTTAATAGAGGAATTTTAACAATTTGGGCTAAAACTAGGGACTCAGGAGTTAAATTGCCTGACCTCAATCCTGACCCTACTGTTTCACTTGTGTGACTTCAGACAAATTTTACTTAATCACGCAATACCTCAGTTTCCCCATCTGTACAATGGAGATGAGACTGCCCGCCTCTTGGGGCACTGAATGAGTAAATTCACTGAAAAGTGTAACAGCACCTGTGCAATAAATGTTATCCATCAGTAAGTAAAAACTCCTTCTGCAGTCAAAAGATAATCAACATGTCAGAGCAAATGCTCTATTTTCCTTTCAAACACTCAGGGCTGCATGGCTAATAGGGTAGCATGGAATGGTTTGGGAGAACAGGGACAAATGGGTGTGGAGACGAGAGAGAAGGGTGTTAAGGCCTGAAGACTTTTCGAGATTCCTTTTTGAAGAGGCAAGATGGTCTTGGGGGAGGGAAGTGGCAGTGTGACCTTGTCTTGACCTCCATGGTGCCCATGGAGCTCAGGGGAATGGCTGGCCTGGCAGACTAAGCACCCGCTGATCAAATGGCTTGTGGCCAGCCCACCTCAGGAAGTGCAGGCCTGTGGCCTTGTGATCCTCAAAAGGGAAGTAAGGTTTAGGAGGACGGATGAAAGATATGAAACAGAGCTCCAACCCTAGGGTCGAAGACTCTCTGAGTTTTAGGTCAATATCCTGTACCTCCTCTCTCTTCACATAGAAAAGGGGGATGGGGCAGAAATGTTAGAAATCCTATCACTGCCACGTCTGGCTGTCAGATAATCTAACAGGTCTGCAGTTATCTTAAAAGAATGGACTGAACCCAAATTAGGGGACCCAGGTGGCAGACTTGGGAATAGGTTGCCAAGAGGGAAGTTGCTGAGTCTAGAAGATAGTGGGGTCCTTTGCAGGCCTGTGACAGTGGATTTTGTAAACGAGCACAGGAGGCCTGCTCTGTTCTTTGTGGTTCTTTACACTGTGAACTAGACCGAAGCTAGTCAGCCCCACAGAGCAAAAGGAGACAGTGAGCTGCAAAGTCGCTACAAAGGCCAAAGAGTCCTCGAGTCCCTTCCAGAAGTCTGTGGTATTAGAACATCCAAGATGTAGACTCCAGACTGGACCTACTCTTTACCAAGTCTGAAACCTTTGGGTAATCAACTCACTCAACTTCTCAGATCCTTTCTTGTTCTCCGGTACAAAATGCACCATGGTGCTCACACTGGACATAGTGGTAGAATGAGCAGCTTGCCTCACAGGGGTATTGTGATGACCTAGTAAAATTACATGAGTGAGTATGTCTAAGAATGGCTGAGAGTGAAATATAAAGGGAGGCTTCTAACTACTCTCTTCATTCAAAAGTCATTTTCCATCTTGGAATACAAAAAAGAACCTCCAAAAGTGATGCCATTACTGCCCAGATACCCCTTGGCTCCTCTGTAATTCCCAGTCCTGTCTGTCTTTCTGGCCAGTCTGGTGTGAGCACAGGTGATGCGTGTTCCTCCCAGGAGAGGTAGGGAAACACTCAGCGCTGCCTCCATTTCGCCCTTCCCTTCCTATGGCAGCCTTGGAATCTGCATAATCAGATGGCATAGTGAAGAGTAGGAAGGGGGCTGTTGAACTTGCTCTCACTGGATGAGAAATAAGCAATTATTGTGTCTAGTTACAAAGAGTTTGAGGATGAGTCTGTGGCAGTGAGGCTTAGACCTCATTACCCTGACTCAGAATGAAAGTTGTGGTTAGGAAGAGACAGGCCACATTCATTTAAGTGACACACACAATGGGATGTCAACCTTTGCTCTCAGGAAGTTGCTTTGAGTCAAAAGTTCTATCTGTTGTGCTCAAAGCTTATTTTAATTACATATCTCCTCTCCTAGTGGGGATGGGACAAATCCTTCTAGACAAGTAAAATCCCTTTTGTTACAAAATGCATTTATTTCAGCCAGATAAAATTCTCCAACTGCATACATGGGTACATATGATAAGGTCCTTCTTCGATACATGTCCTGCTTACAAGAGCCATTTCTAATTATTAAAACGCGTAACAAACATCTTTGTCTCTTAAAATATAATTTAAATAACTTGCTAAGGTATAAGCCATAAGTCTGGTCACGGACCTGATTGGAGAGTGGTTCTCCAGTGATGAGACCAGAGCAATATCGGCACATTGACTCGACGATGAGATTCCACCGGTCTGCTAGCTGCTGAGCTCATCTGCTGGTCAACCTGCCAAGTATGTGGATAGTTGCTGTTGGGGCAGCAAGCTGCCTTCTGTGAAAAAAGTTATGTGCAGACGAAGTATGACTTAGGCAACGTGGAGAGGCATTTCACAGAATGCACACACCTTTCGGGTAACTTAAGGATGAAAGCTTGGTGAGAGCAAATCTGTTTACACTGCTGGGTATTGTGGCACCATCTCACTGGGCACTCAATAAATATCTATGAAGTGAAAGGAAAGATAAAAGAATAAGCCGTAGCAGTTGCCTTGATGTCCCACTGTTGTCAAGATTGGGCTTTATGAGCTTTATGGACACTATTTCTTGTTCAGAGTAAGTCATTCTATTTGGAAAGCCATCCCTTTCCTTCTCGTCAAGTTCTTCATGAGCATTTAGAGACTTCTTACAGACTGCCAGTATTTGGGGCTCATTGGCTTATAGAAGAGCTGGGAGTAGGCCATACAACGTCTAGGTTTGTCCCTTGAAGTAAGAATGCCTGAGTGACTTGGAAGTTCTAGGATCTGGTTTATTCTTCACACCTGTTCTTCTTTTGGCTCCTGTTAATATCCTGAACCTGAAGTAGCCATGGAAACTCAGAGCTGAGCAGTGTATTTCTTCATGAAATCTCATTTCAGTATCCACTATTTCTAGGACCCTGGCTCCCTCAGAACTTGAAGTGGTTGATCTCTTGATGTTCCGTCCTTCACAGAGTTCTCCACCTGTTCCCTGAAGGTAAGGGTCTTGTTTGAACGTTGACACTGAGGAGTTCCCCACAGAGGAAATTCCTGGAAAAATCTCTCCTTTTGCTTCTCATACCATCTCTCCCATTCGCCACAGGCTATGGATGCAACTCTGGAGAGACAAAGGAAAAGTTTCTAAACTCATCCTGATTAATCATAGGAAGATGTCCCTCATCAATTGGAGTTAAAACCGGTTCTTCCTTTATGAAGTCAGGGTCAAAATTACTGACGTCTTCTCGGGATTTCTGTCAAAAAGGAAACAAGGAAAACTTCAGATTCTGTGCATGAGGCTTATTAATCTTCCGTGGGACTTAGCCCTTGCCAGTGAGTTCAGAGGACGGCCCTGCAACTCTCTCAGCAGCATTAATTCCAGTTATGACAATTGGTTAAACAGTGCTTTCTACTAATTCTACTGCATTGTGTATTATTAGGGCATTTGTAACCACCAATTCACTAGCCTCATAAAAATCTTGCTGAGCAGACCAGTCTTAGGCTGGGAAGCTAAGGAATTAACTTGCTCACCTGACCCAGCCAGCTGGTTCACCCTGTCCATTTCATGGAAGTACCACTTCACAGCAGGCCATACAGGGGCCCACAAGACAACAGAGGTTATGTAAATTCACACTATGTGCTTGTAGAGATTTTCCTGAAAGACTTCTTGGAAATTCTGAGTTCAGGGAACAAATGCCTCTCACTTCACTCACCAGCAGATTCATTCTGCCCTGCTGGCAAAACTTCCCCTCCTCCCAGAGGGGCTGGCAGGGGGATGCCCATGAAAGGAAGTGGTTTTATGCTCTGGGTGTTTGGTGTCTCAACCTAGCAGGCTGTTACAGATTAAGCCAATGACATATGGAAACGTGTATTTTACATCTTTATAAACTAATGCTGGAGAGATCATTTTTACCATTGTGAGATCTCTCACTTCTCTTCCTGGAGTCAACGATATTCCTCTCTGAGCATCCTTGTCCTCCTAACTTGTGATGTACTGGAAGCCCAGCTTCTCTGCCTTCCCATTGATTGTGGTTCTCTTGACTCACCTATGAGAAACAGCTTAGCTCTCACTCTAAGAGCTGGACCCTTCAGGAATGCCGCCCTACTTAGCTTCCTCCCTTGGGGAAGCACCCGTGGTACTCCCAGTATTTCCTAGACAAAAAGGACTCGGCCCCTCTTGCCCTGGGCCCTGTGCTGCAGGGGCTGTCACAGAGCTGAGCTCTCCCAGCTGGGGAGCCAGGCTGAGGGTCCTGAGGAGCATTCACCTCCTCTCTACCTTCCTGGGGGCTTGGGAAAGGCTCCCTGACTAAGGAGCATAAGGAAATCAGCTAGAACAATGAATTTCTCAACCCAACTTCTTTGGGGAAACCTGGAAAGTTTCAGGGCCTCTTCAACTCCAGGAAATTTTAACTTGAGAGGATGGGGCCAAGGCAAGCAAGAGGTGAACACTTTTTGAGACATAACCCCTGGCACACCAAGAGCTGTTGCCTTGGGGGCAAGGCAGAGTCCTGGATGAGGCTGCCCTGTAAAGCATCTGGCTGAGCTTCCGGTCTGGTCATCCCCTGGTGGACCATCTAGCTGCTCAAGTGGAACACTGAGACAGTTTAAGAAAGAAGGAGGTCTACTCAGGTGGTCTCGGACACTTACGATTCTGGGTCGGAAAGGTGGTTCTACTTGGCGATGGTTCAGCTGGGCCCAGTCGATTTCCTTAAAGAAGGGGTGTCTCAAGATGGCATGCTCACCGCCTTGACTTGGGCTGCCCAAGCGCATGGTGGGGTTCTTGGTCATGAACTGAGACGGGGAGAAAGACAGTCAATCATACAATCACACACAGTAAGGCTGTCACAAGACGGTAGGCATCAACCCTGCCGGAGGAGATGATGTGAGGCTTCATGGCTGATCTTGCTTAACCAGCCGAATTTTCCATCACAGGCGGCACAACCACTATGAATCATCCCGTCAAGGCGCAGTTGCTCGTGTGTATTTCTGGCCTTCCCCACTTCCATTTCAGACGTGGCAACCAAAATAAAACCGAAGGGCCCAGTTTTCTTTCCTGTAAATACCATGGTTTTTTTTTTTTTTCCCTCCCCTTTAAAGAAAAGAAACTCTCTATAAAACAGTGTGCCTTTCTCCAGCACTGCAGTTGAGGACAGCCGGCAGCTTATGAATGGGGCTACTTTTCAGAACAGCTGTGCCATTTTTCTGAGCGACCTGACCAGCCGGCCAGGATTCCCACTCTCTGACAAGACCACGGAGAGAAGAGAGAGAGTCATTATTCTGACGCTCTGGGTGAAGGAGCCGCAGGGTGAGAAACTTAAAGTTCTGTGTTCGGGCTCCAGGAAAAACAAAGTTGGACACTTTTACTTACGCAACAAAGATATTATAGTTTTGGCTGAAGAGTTTTTTCCTTCAAGATGCTCCCTTCTCTCCTGCTCTTCCATTTTAAAATGTTTCATGACTGAGACTCTTGCCACATAGACCAAAATTGGAACACATTGCCACACATTTAAGGACTGTGTGTGTGTATCCATCCTCTGTATTTATATATCAATTGGGCAACTTCTTCACAACTGACCTCCTATCAAGATGTTTTGGGCCAACTCTCCTTTCATGAAGTGGTCAATACAGGCATTCTGATCATTTCCTGACCAAAGACCAGTACAGGATAATTCACTCTTCATGGCATGCTCATGAAGCCATTTTAAAATTTTAAAATTTAAAATTTCCAATTTTAAAGGCATACTCTTCCATAATCAAAAGAAAATGACCTTGGATAAAAACTTTTCAAAAATTTAAATCAAGTTATCTTTAAATGAATTTATATCCCCACCCCCCACCCCCACCAAACACCCCTTTCCAAGTCTGACTTAAGAACACAAGGCAAAAGTAATGAGCAGAAGTTTATACTTCTTTGGAGTGGAATTTACCCAGTACATTTGAAAAGATCTTGAAGGTGCACATAAGAAAGGCTGGGGTTGGGAGATGACCAGCCCTCCATGTCACAGGTGTCCAAAGCTGCCAAACCTCTTGGGTTGCTTCAGGTGAACGTGATCAGGTGGAAGGAGGAGGCTGCCAAGGTCCCTAAGCAAATTGACGGGAGAGACCTCATAAAGTGCTACAAAAGCTTCAAACAAGAGCTGGTAAAAAATGATGGAGTTTAATGGTTTCTCCTCTTTCTAAGAGACGGGGAATGAAAGGCCTGGTGGTACTGAATTTGGAGGTGGAACTCTAAAGTAAAAGCTGCTTTGAGAGCTACTGAGCAGTGAGCGCTCCGGGCATGCGGGGTGATCAGCAGACTTATAGGAACTGTCCCATAAACAACTCCATTCTGGAAGAGCTAGGCTCTCGCGCTGTGTGGGCTCTGCCTAGATTAAGTGTATGAATCTTAGAAAGACAGGGGAAAATACACACACCGAAGAAACGAGTAGACTCCCTTCTTAGGCAAGTCAATGGGATACAATCCCTGAAGGAGTAGCTGTGTCTGTTCTAAAAGCTAATTAACAAAAGACAATGCTGCAAAAAACTCAAGCTACAAGGGCAGCAGAACAGACCCAGATGGCTTGTGGGAAACTCCCAGGCCTGCCAACGGTGCAAGCAGAGGACACGTCGTGAATGTGTGGGTACAACTTGTTCTTCTGGGCAAGAGGAACAGTGTGGGGCTCTTGCTGCCAGGGTGGCAGAAGCCCCGGTGTCTGAACGCCTTTGCCCATTCTTCCCTGCCCCGGCAGAGAAGCCAAGCTTCCAAGGGGCACTGTGGAAAGGCACTGACCAAAGAAAAGCAGACCAAGTCGTGGCTGTTCTCTACAGACGTCATCCCTGCGAACAGAGTCAGGCAGAATGACCCTTTCCACTAGCTTACTTAGAATTCTGATAATGTTCTTTCGAATGACCAGGCAGTTTTGTGTTAACTTTGAATATCTTGAGCTTTTTAGATACTGCCATCCTCCATGTAGAAGAAAAAAAAAGTTCAGTTTATAAAAGCTGCAGGTGTCTATGAAAGGCAGTGAACTAGGCCTCATGGTTGGGGGGGTGTTGTAGGAGGTGCACAGATGAGGAGGATAGTATCTCCCCATGAAGGAGCTGATCAAGAGAAGCGGGCAGAGGCAAGCACGCTTTAAGTAACACAGCTGGATAAAAGGAAGACATAGTCAAGTGCAACGGAAGCTTTGGAGAGAGCCTGGGCCACTAGCATTGGGGAGCTGGTGGAGAGAAGGCAGGCAGTGGCCTCACAGAAGAGGGGACATTTGATGACACGAGGTGGGCAGAATTACCACATGCCTGAGAACGCAGACTGGCATGGCTGCGGGCAAGCACCCGCCACGTTGGGTGTTCGGGCTGGCATGAAAGGACAGCTAAGGAACCGCGGGGGAGCCAGCAAGACCTGTCTACAGCGTATTTGACGTGAAGGATGAGAGCTGCCCTTGACCTAGGTGACTCTAGACACAACATGACGGCTAAATCCCTAGTAGAGAGGGGAGAGATACATGGGGGTGACTAGTTAGGAGGCTGAGATCACTGCCAAGAAAACATACGTTTGGAAACTAGAATCTCTCGTTAGTGAGAGGAAAGGCAGGGAGCAAGCCCTGGGGGGCTTTTGGAAGAAGAATGAACAGACTCCACACTGCCTGGAGCTGCGGGGTGGGGGGTGCAGAGAGAGGAGGGCGGTCAGGTCCCAAGGTCCTCTCTGGCTGGTGAGTGATGGAAATGGGTGACAGAAGAGGAACCAGTTCAGGTTGGGAGTACTGGTGTTAGTAGAAGTAGAAATAGTAGCAGCGATGACTTTTGTCAGAGGAATGAAGATATAATAAACATCTACCATTCTATCATTTCTCAAGACCTTACAGATCTGGGAAGTTGGTGAGCTCAGCTTTGCATCTGAGATGTGCAGACATCCACCAGAAGGAGCCTGACCAGGGTGAGAAGTCTGATTCCCAGGGATGATGACGACATTTGGTAAGATAGAGCTGAGGCTGGGAGGGAGGCTGGTGTGCTGGGAAGGCAGATGTGGACGCAGACAGAAGAGAACCGAGGGCAGCCCTAGGCCGCAGGCATTTTCTTTGGCCCACGTAGAGTGTTTTAAAATAATTTTAATGACTTATCAAAGAAGTAGCAAATGTCACATCACATGAAAGTCAAGTTTTCCAAATTCTCTTGGGAGATGGAATATTCTGGAACGCTGGGCCTGTACTACTTCCTGGTGAAAATGACCTGAGCTGAGCATGGCTGCCTCCTTGGCTGGGGCATGTGACCCCCGGTCCCGGCACTCCTCACGGCCTCACACCTGGCTCCACGCTCCCCGGGCTCCACATATGCCTGTGCTGGCTCCCAGCCCTGGCACAGGGTGAGAAGAAGAGCTCATGAGACAGTCAGAGGAGGACAGAGATCGTGGAACAGAAACTAGGAGGGGGACCATTCCGGGGAGGAGCAGGGGAGTGATCTGTGCTGCTGAGGGAGCAGAAGGCCAGTTGGGGGGGGGGGGGGGGCGGGGTTATAGCTCCTCTATGACTAAGCCCCACCCCCTAGCAAAGATGCAGAGATGGGAGGTTTGGGGAACACTGAACATCAGTCCCAGGCCTGGAACCTTTCTTGGCAAACATCAGTGGAGTGGGCTGGAGGCAGAGGGGGTTTGTGGCCCTAGGCCAGGCCCAGGACTCGCCTTAAACACCATGTTCCTGCTGCTGTGATGGTGATGGCACCATCCCATTGCAGAAAACTTTCTCTATTTGCTTATGTCCCTACTGGGACCCGAAGCCAAACAAGTTAACAACCACGGTGTTCAGAGGCATCACTCATCCATGTCTAAGGTCATACTTAAAACTTGCCTCACCTCAACTGACCTTCTCCCTGACTGTGGTCTCAAAAGGGGAAGTCAGCCCAGGAGGAAAATAAAGTGACTCCATGAAAGATTTTGGATACATTTACTAAAGGAAGCAGACTGTTTGCTAGGTTCAATGAAAGCGTTTTATAAGCTGCAAAGAGTGAGGAGTCCAGGGTGGAAAATCTGATTCCACCTCGAATGTAAGTCTCCAGCTAACTGGAGACGAGAGGCAAGAAAGTGTGGACACCTCTTGTATTCCCCTTTCTCCTGAGGCCCTCATGAACATGGAAAGAGGGTCCTAAAGGACTCAAAGCACACCTGCCCAGAGAATGAGTAACAACAGTTCCTTCCAGGCTGCAGAGAAGGCAGGAGCACAGTGGGGAGCAGTCAGCCAGGTGCCCCGCCTGAGGAAACACAAGTGCTATGGGCCAGGTTGATACAGGAATGTCCCGCGAAGCCTCCTGCCGGCCAGGGATGGGTACATAAAGGATGTGAGAGCTCCTCTGTGTGCAGGGCCCAGAGGGGAAGTGGTTCCGCTCCTCAGCTTCATTACTGTGTTTGGATGCCAGTTCTTCCATGAGCTGTGCGACCCTGGACAAGTGTATTAACTTCTCTGGACTTTAGACTCCTCAACTATAAAATAGAGATTTTTTTTTTTATTTCCTCATATTACGATGAGTAAAAGAATGTAAAATACCAGCACAGAGCAAGCCCTTAATCAATGCTAGTGAGTTTCAGCAAGCATCTTGTTAAACCACTCGGAGGGCCATCCTGTTCTACCTAAATGCAGGAGCATGGACTGAAATGCCTCTCAGAGAGGAACGTCTGAGCTGAGCCTTGGCCCCAAGGTTTATCTGGCGCGCTCTCTCTGCTATTCTACTTTGTAGCCAGGAAAAGGGCACAAGATCTGTTTCTGCCTTCACAGTCCCAGACTCCAACAGGGCGGGTGGTAGTGATGGTCTCAAGAAAAACA